ACTTTGCACAGGAGAATGGAACTGGGATTGCACATGGTTCTGGGTGAGATATTGAGCTGTGCCATCAGATTCCTCATCGGCTTTAAGTGACTTGAGGAGGAGAAACCTGTTTGCTCCCTTTGGAGCTGCTTTGGGAGTGTGTCAAAGCTTTCATTTCTGATGGCCACAAACGGGAGGAATCTCACCAAATTCCAGCAGCTCCTGCCTCCCTCTTTTTCCATCAAAATGTGATAAACACCTCAAACTTGTTCGTCTAGTGATAAGTTGCTCAGAGAGCTAATCTCGCTTCTTATTAAGCGATCGTTAGTGAAAACTCCTGGTGATTCCCAGGAATCACTTCTGTGGGATAACAGTGCACTTTGCCTGTTATGCTGCTGCACCTGAGGCCTCAGACTCACCTGAGCAGAGTTTTCTCAGGGGTTTAGCTAAATTTTGTCCAGTTTTTCCCCTTTGTGCATCATTGCAGTAGTTCCCTCCCTGGGACAGCCCCAGCCATGGGGTCCCACTGTGCCCTGGAAGCCTCCTCAGATGCTCCTGAGGATAACAACCTCCCTGGCTGCAGGGATGAAGCAGCTGCAGAGGTGCCAGGAGCCTTTCCATAATTTTGGGAGGTGAACTTGGGATTTTTGAGGGAAACTGAGGCAGAGCTGTTCCCTCTGCCCACGGCAAATGCTCCTCCCAGCTCACCCCAGGGGTACCCCAGGACACCCAGGACAGTGTCCCTGTGCCCTCAGCAGCCTCCACAGGGGGTGGGAGCTCATTCCCAGGAGGAATCCTGCCAGGTTGGTGTGTGTTCCCGGGAGTCCAAGGGAAAGGGAGTCGGTGCCACCACCGGCGCCGCGTGCCAAGCTGCTGCCACAGCCCACAGAGCCTTCCAGGTGTCTATCAAAAACTCTGGCTGTTATGGGATGCCAAGGAGCCTGTGCAGAGCTGGGAAGTAATTATCCAGCTCTCCTGTGAAGCTCATTTCCCGGGAATGATGCATGGCCTGAAAATGACGTCTCGATTTCTTCCCGTGCCGGAGCACAGCAGAGATGTCTCACTCTCCAGGGCTGCCATTGGCTTTTCCCACTGCTGACAGGCACTTGGAAACCATCCCTTTCCTTTTCCATCCCTTTCCTTTTCCATCCTTTTCCTTTTCCCTCCTTTTCCTTTTCCATCCCTTTCCTTTTCCATCCTTTTCCTTTTCCCTCCTTTTCCTTTTCCATCCCTTTCCTTTTCCATCCTTTTCCTTTTCCCTCCTTTTCCTTTTCCATCCCTTTCCTTTTCCATCCTTTTCCTTTTCCCTCCTTTTCCTTTTCCATCCCTTTCCTTTTCCATCCTTTTCCTTTTCCCTCCTTTTCCTTTTCCATCCCTTTCCTTTTCCATCCTTTTCCTTTTCCCTCCTTTTCCTTTTCCATCCCTTTCCTTTTCCATCCTTTTCCTTTTCCCTCCTTTTCCTTTTCCATCCCTTTCCTTTTCCATCCTTTTCCTTTTCCCTCCTTTTCCTTTTCCATCCCTTTCCTTTTCCATCCTTTTCCTTTTCCCTCCTTTTCCTTTTCCATCCCTTTCCTTTTCCATCCTTTTCCTTTTCCCTCCTTTTCCTTTTCCATCCCTTTCCTTTTCCATCCTTTTCCTTTTCCCTCCTTTTCCTTTTCCATCCCTTTCCTTTTCCATCCTTTTCCTTTTCCCTCCTTTTCCTTTTCCATCCCTTTCCTTTTCCATCCTTTTCCTTTTCCCTCCTTTTCCTTTTCCATCCCTTTCCTTTTCCATCCTTTTCCTTTTCCCTCCTTTTCCTTTTCCATCCCTTTCCTTTTCCATCCTTTTCCTTTTCCCTCCTTTTCCTTTTCCATCCCTTTCCTTTTCCATCCTTTTCCTTTTCCCTCCTTTTCCTTTTCCATCCCTTTCCTTTTCCATCCTTTCCCTTCCTTTTGTTTTCCATCCTTTCCCTTTTCCATCCTTTCCCTTTTCCATCCTTTCCCTTTTACACCCTTTGCCTTTTCCATCCTTTTCCTTTTCCCATCCTTTGCCTTTTCCCATGATTGCACGAGGAGTCCCTTTTCAGCACAGGATAAGCAGAGCCTGGCGTGGCAGGGGTGCCAGGCAGGAATGGCTGGAAAACCAGGCACAGGGCTGGAAAACCAGGCACAGGGCTGGGCTGGGCGATGTGGTTTGGTGATTGAAGTGTCATTTTGCCCATGGAATGTTGTTTGGGATGGGAGGAAAAGGGGCAGACACAGGTGTGGAGGAGCCAGCCCATGGGGTGGCACAGCTCACTCTCATCCCACCAGGAATCACATTTCCCAGCTCGTTGCTCCTCTCCCTGGGTTTGAATTCAGTTCGAGGCTTTTCCACATGGGACACAGTGAGGGAAAAACAATACTTGGAGTCAGAACTGAGGTACTCCCAGAGACAAACGTGATTAATGGGATCAGCTTGGAGGTTTGAGGCAGTTCCTGCCTTTTCCCACTCTCCAGGGGCTGGTCCTGCTCCCATCCAACAAGCAGCTGCAGATTCCTCAGCACCATTAGCATCCAATCCAGGAATATGACATTTTAAACTGGGCTGAGTTGGATTCGGCTGATCTTAAACAGCCTCATTTCTTGATTGAGGGAATTGTGGTGGAGACAGGCTCACCTTTCCCTAAATATAGCCCTTAAATACACTCCATAAATACACACACACTCACACAGAGCTCCCAATAATATCCTTCAGTTAATCACGTCCTAATTAACCACTGATCAAGCCTTATTAAAGGGGGTGACAGTGGTGGCTCCTGATTCCCACCTGCATTCCCATCCAGGCTGCCTACACGTGCAGGAGGCACCTGAGGAATTTCGGGATAAGTTTCCTTAAGGTGTACAAATGAACAACATGGGAAGGATTCATTTTAATCAATTAAAACTCAGGTTTCACCTGAATTATATGGGGGGGGAACCAGGAAAAAACACATTTCTCTCAGGGAAACATGTCCCATGCATCACACACAGGTTATCCACGATTTAACTTTGGTTTTAGGTGTGCTAAGTGTGGGGAAAACAGGGGAAAAATCAGGAAAAAACACATTTCTCTTGGGAAACATGTCCCGTGCCTCACACACAGGTTGTGCTCTATTTAACTTAGTTTTTTAAGTGAGCTAAGTGTGGGGTTTGCCTTTTTCCTGCCGTTTGCCAGCAGGGAATAGCAGGGCGCAGGGAGCTGGGCACAGAAGCGATGGGGTTTGGGTTTTCCTGCCCAAACGGTTGGTCCCGAGGCGCTGTGACCCCTCGAGGGGTGACACGCGTTCCCAGTGCGTTCCCAGTGCGTTCCCAGTGCGTTCCCAGTACATTCCCAGTACATTCCCAGTATATTCCCTGTACATTCCCAGCGGTTCGGCGGTGCTGTGTCGCCGCCTTGTGGCCACGCGCGGGTACTGCAGGCAGCGCCCGCAGAGTCCCAGGAGAACCAAATCCAGGGGAAACTGCCCCAATTCTGCCCCAAATCGTGGCTAAGGAAGCAGGAATCGCCCTGACACCACCACAGATTGGCTCGGCTTGGGAGGGACTTTCAAGAGTGTAGTGCTCAGCACCTCCTGCTGGCCCAGGTGGCTCTGGCCTGAGGCAAACCCACCCCAAAGTAAACCCCCAAAATAACCCAAACCCCAAAGTTTGATGCCCAATCTAGGGGCAGGAGGAGACTTCAGAGCAGCCGAGAGAGGCAAGCAAAGCCCTGAACAGCGATCAAATCCATGCCCAGGGATGCACCACCAGCCATAACCAATTAACAGCATCCATTTAATTGAGCTTTTCCAACAGGAGAAGCACAAAATTCAGCGAGTAACTCCAGCAGGGATGAGGGAAGAAATCCTTGGCCAGGAATGCAGCAGGGGATTAGTGCACAAAAGGAGAAACCAGAAGAGATTCGTATTAAAAATGGTTTATTTCTATATACAATTCCGTGTCTTACATCCCTCAAAACCAGGTGTTCCAGGGCCGGAATCAAACTGTCCCCACGTGCTGATCCAGCTCCATGTGCATCCCTGGATCTGCACTGACAGTGGAACAAACCCAGGGCCTCACAGAAAATCAGGTTTTCCAGGCAATTCCCAGTTTTCTGCTCGGCTGAAATAGCTATTTGAGCGGGAAATCCACTCGGGATGAACATCCAACCGTGCCAAGGCAGCAGAGAACCACTCCAGAGTGTCCAAGGAACAGCAATTAGCACAGGATTTAAGTTTTAATGGGATTTGTGTAATTAAAAACGCAGTAAATTTAACTCTACAAAGAGATTAATTATGGCAATTAAACACTCAGCAAGTTTTCCTGGGAATTCAGAGGATGCTATGGATATGGTGCTGATCAATGCCTGATCTATTAGCATTTGTTTGCTAAGTTTCCTTGGGATTGGGCCCTAAAGTAGCATTAAAATTCCAATTCAGCTGGAAAACTCCTGTCTGCAATAAATATTTCCTTATTAAGATCCACAGAGAGGAAAAACATCCAATAAAACACATCAGGAACAGAATCTGAATCCCAACCTGAGTGGGAAATGAGGCCAGGAATGTCTAGGACTTAAAACCCTTTCAGAAGACTCAGGAATTGCCTGGAAGTTCATGGAATGATGATTTAAATCTGCTTCCTGTGGGTGGACAATGGGAATTACAGAGGTGGAGTTATTCCCATATCCGAGAATGATCTGCATTTTGTGGGAATAAGGATCCAAATGCACTCAGGCTGTACCTGCACTCGCCAGAACTCTAAGCTCTCCTGTGCAGTTGGGAAGTGTCGATGGAACAAGAGCCACAGTTGTTGGAATACAACATTCCCCTTGGCAAACGTCAGGAATTGCGTGTACAGATCCGTGGAGGAGGAGGAGGAGGAGGAGGAGGATTGCACCAGAAACACACTCCAGCTCAAAGCAATGATTTATTGGTAAGGGCAGTAAATCAAACAGTCTCTGGTTATGGTCAAGCAATTTTCCAGGAGTTGGAGAGAAAAGTGGGAATCTTGGACCGGGATAAGGCCTTCCAGTGGCTTTGCTTCCTAGTGGCTCTCTCCTTTCTTGCCAACTACCTGGAAGAGGCAGAGAAAACAGCAAGAACGGTCAAAACCTCCTGGCAGGACTTTTTTTTGTGCAAGTAATGGAAGTGCAACTCCATTTCCAGGCAGGGAATCCACTGCAGGCAGGTTAGGGAGCACCTGGAGGGGTGGGAATCCCTCCCCAGGGGTAAGAGGGTGGGAAACACACACAAACCCTGGAGCTTAGTGAGGCACACACAGCGAGGGCAGTTAGGAGACAGAGCTGCACAACACTCCAGACCCATGTCACACCTCCAACGGAACCTGAACACGCTCCACAAGTGGGAAGGGAATCCCCAAGGTACTTCCCTGCCCTTGGGATCATTGCCATGGGCTTCCCTGGGAATATTTACCTCACAGTGCAGCTCAGACCTATAAAACACCTCAGAATTCTGAGGATTTTTCAGTAATTCCCCCCAAACCACAAATCCCTCCCCACTGGGAGCATCTTTCCTGCTCCTTCCCCTTGCTCCTTCCCTGCCAAACTGCAAGGGGGAGAGTTTGTCACTGCCACAAAACAACTGACATCTACTAGGAAAATCCCATTTTCAGCTCCAAGAACCTAACCAGGAGCATTTCCAAGTGGAAAGGCTCGAGGGTGGGAAAATTCCCACCCGACAATGTGAGGAAAGAAAATCAGAAAATTCAATTAATCCAGTTCAAACCAAACCAAACAAAGAAGAGAGTTAAAGTTGTCGTGAGGCAAGAAGTGTTCCTGGTGTGTTCCAAAGTGTGTCCACACACAGGTTAGGCAGAGAAATGAGGAAAAGAGGAAAACCAGTGTCAAACAGTTAGGGATTAGGTGTTAGGAGTGTGGAGGAGCAACACAACAGTCGGTACCAGTCGGAGGCAGAGAGGGACAAGTGGCCCATGTGTATTATCTGGAAAACCCATGGATATGGATCATTTGGCACCTCAGCTCACACCCACCTGCTCTCCACCCATCCCACCCCACCTTCCCCCAGAAACTCTGCATCTCCCCCAAGTTCTGCTCTGCTTTCCACTGAAAAAAGTGTCGGTGGAGCATCCCAACAGCTCCACAGGAGCCAATCCAGGCTGGGAAATCAGGCATGAGCACCAATCTGAGCTTGACCGGCCTCACAGTGGCATTTTGGGGTGCAAATGGGGTGGAATTCAGGAGGGAGAAGTGTTTCAGGCTTGGAGCAGGGAGAGGAGGGCAAAGCTGAGCGGGTGAGTCGGGCGCTCTGGGTCAGTGCTGGGATGGTGGGGAGGGAGGGAGGGAGTGCAAGGCCACACCAATCTCATTACTTTCAGCTCCTTCTGCCTGCTTTAGCTCTTTGGGAATGGGGAGTTTCGCTGGAAAACAAACACACAGAGGGTTACAAGGACAAAGCACAGTCAGGAACCAATGTGTGGTGCAAAGGGCACTGAGGAGAGAGACACAGCTCATCCAAGGGGGATGAAGGACCCCACAGCCTGTCCAGATCCATCTGTGCCTCTTCCCAACACTCCCTGGGTCAGCTGCTCCCTGCTGTCTCCCTTCTCCATCACTCCAAAGGCTTCCCTCCTCTCCAGAGGGTGAAAATGGAGCTGTGCAAGGAGCAGGAGTCACACACCAGAGCAAAACGTTTGCCAACAGCTCTTGCAGCTTCCCACAGAGCCCCAGGAAGAGGTGGGAGCAGCGAGGAGCAGTGAGAGATTCCCTGCCCTCAGGGCAAGGAACAGCAGCTTTCCCAGTTATCTGATCCATGCAATTAATGCCCAACCCTATATTAGGGTGTCACGGCAGACAAATTAGAGCCCTTGGAGCACTGAGCTCTGCCCCAGCCTATCTGTGGTGAAACTGATGTGAGAACTCCATATTCAGGAAGGAAACCAGGGATATTGTGTGGAGTGTCCATGAGGATCTGACTGGGACTGGATTAACTGGTGCACAATCCTTCCCTGCTCCTGTTTCTGGTCTATTTTGTGTTTCCCATCATGACCTCCCCAGCACAGTTCTGGGGTCACTGTGAACACAGACACTTTCTCTGTGCAACTTAGGTGGCCAGAGAAACCAACAGCTATCAGATCATCAACCCCTTCATGCACTTCCAGTTTGGGAAGGTCTGAAATCAGTGTCCAGTTAATTTTAGTCCATTAGAACAACTTCTGATGACTTCAGGCTGCAGTGAGAGGCAGCAAAAGCTGTTAGACCCACTAATTAGCTTAGGCCTGCAACGAAGTCAGGTTGTGTGTTAGGTTAAGACCAAGTGTTGCTGTTAGGCTTTGAGCAGGTGCCACGTGGGTGTTTAACCTGTCCCTTCACTCCTGCCACCAGTTCCCCCACAGGGGTTTGCAGCAGGACTTGCCCTTCCACAAAGGCCTCTGAGTTTTACAGCACTCCATTTTAAAGAGACCTATTACATGAAAGCTTCAAACCCTCTCAGAGTCCCAAAAACCAAATCAAGGGCAAAGAAACCATAACTGTTCACAGAAACTGATGATCAAAACCTTGCAGGAAGCCCCAAAACATCCACGAGTTGTCCTGGAGCTGTGGCACTGTCTGCTCCCCCAGCCTGTTCCTGCAGAGAGACCCTCCCGTGGGGTTTCAGGAGAGGACTCACTCGTTTGAAGTCGTTCATGTTCGTGGCCTGCACCGGAGTGCCGATGAACGTGAAGTATGTGATCCGCGTCGTCTCCTCATCCCCATGATTGGACTGCACGAACAACTGGGGGGGAAAAGCCAGAAGAGGAGTCAGACTGACCATCCCTAACTGAAACACAAAGCATCAGGTGCTCAGCATGTCTGAGCTGACCAAACCAGCACTTTTTCCCAGCTGGGAAGGTCTCTGCCCTTCTGAGAAACGACGGCATGCAGAAGGTTGTTGCTTCCTGGCAGGGCTCACCCCAACCCAGCTGGGATTTCCCCAGCTCCACACCACAGGGAGGAAGCAAAACCAGGAACTAAAGTCACAGCTCACTGGAATCTGACCCAGAACAACACTGACCACCACCTGAGCCAGGCTGGGGCAGCCCCCGAGGAGGTTTAAGCCCAGATCCCCTGGAGGAGACTCACAGTGACGCTGTTGACGTTCTGGAATTTGACGTAGCGGAGCTGGACGATCCCATCCTCCCTGATGTCCTCGGGGCTGAGCTCCAGGGCCTGGGTGGGCTCACTGCGTTCGGCCTCCTCGAAATCCATCGAGCGCGGCAGGTTGATGAACATCTTCACGTATTTTGGCCCTTGCCCTGGGGGAAAACGCGGGCTGAGACACAGCTCCACTTCAAAATCACAGGGATCGTGACATGTCATGGCATTGGGTAGGAGTTACCACAAAAAAACAGACATCTCTGTTCTAAGGGAGCGAAACCTCAGCGTCACTCGGCAGCTTATGACCCACAATACCTCTCCTTGTGTATCAATAAATCCTTCCCCTTACATCCCAAGCTGCAGCCAACCCTTCCCCTTGCACTCACCATTATCTGGCCCCTGTAGCTTCATCGAGTAGAGCTTGACGGGCTGACTAAAAGCTACTGTGATGAGCAGCTGAGGAGGGAAAAAACACACCATGACACACTTGGCTTCACCAGAAAACCCAACCCAGCACCACAGACAGGGCCAAGGGAGGCTTGGAATTAAACGAGGTGGTCGCTTCACCCTGCTCCACACACTGGGACGCTCCAAACCAGCCAACCCTTCTCCGAACCGAGTTTTTCCGCGCGGCAGCGCCGCAGGGAGGTCGGTGCTGTGGCTTTCCTTACCTCCTCCCGCACACACATGACAGTATCAATTTCAAGAGGCCTCTGCAGGCCGTTTGAGCCCGAGGCTGAGCCCCCTGAGGCACCTGCTCGTCGCAGTCTGACTCCAGGTAGGAGGAATCCTTGCGCAGGCAGTTCTCGAAGCCGTGCTCGTCGCTCTCGTTGAGGCACTCACACCCAGCCTTGTTGATGAAGGGCATCAGGTCCATCTGGGGACAGAGGGAGCAGCGTTGCTGGGAGCAGCAGGAGGGCCCCAGGGCGTCAGGCGGAGCTGGGACGAGGGGAACACCTCACCCCATGACGTGGCACACGCAGGACCTCGGGGGGTGGCAGCGAAGGGCATGGCAGGCACAGAATATCAGTGCTCAGGGCATCACATCTGGATATCTATCCCTTCCAGTTAAAGCCTGCACCCCTGAATACACATTTACCATCCCAATCCCATCACTGGGAGAACTTCAGGTGGATTTTTGCTGACCAAGAGCACAAATATTCACCTGGACTGATAATCAACTCCACTAAAACCCCCCAAACTCCTCTTATTTTCACAGCTCTCCATGCTCCAAGCCCTTCAAATGGGAGATCATGGATTAATGACAGTAAATAAAGCCACAATC